ATTACATAATCACCCGCAACAAAATTTATTTTTATTTTGATGGATATCGTTTCCCCATAATTTTCATTAAAAAAAATATGTTTATACTAAAGGTTGTTTGTAACGAGAATAGTTATAAACACATACCACAAACTTGATCATTTAGCGGGAGCTAGAATTTTCACCGCTTGTCTCAAAGAGAATTTTGGACACGTTGACAATTCCATAGGTGTAATCTTTATTCGCCATAATTCCTTAGATTGTTGGTTCTATCTTTCCAAATTCAACGTGTTGACCGTGTTGTTCCACAATTGACATCGTTGACCATCTAGCTCCGCCAATTGATCTGCAAAATAATCACTAAAAAGAACTAAAAGTATATTAGTGGCTCGAGACGCGTCAGACGCTGTCCTAATGAATTATTTCCGGCGTACGGAAATTTCCCCCAAGATATAACGAGCCCTTCGGTAATAAAACCGGGTACCAGAACTAACGAGAAGAAAATAGTATATGAACCCAGTAATAAAAGTGTATTGTTCTTGTCGTATACGCACTTCACCATATACACTCGGCTCTCAAGAGCAAAATTTGATTTTGTTGTTGTATTACAAGTCTCTACTATATTTCATTCTTATTCAAAAAAAAATACCTGCAAGTATATTGATGCATACGTATATATATACAACTCATATTCAAGCCAATACTACACTTATACGTTACTCTTGTTAAAAAGTTAATGAACATTAAGTCCTAAAGATATTATTAGTGACGTTAGCATAAATAAAACCTTTACGTTAACATATATTAATAGCACTTCAAAATTAAGATGACCATCCGTTAGAGTATGTTACCAGGTATAATCCACATTAAAATTTGATTGATCCGTTAGAAAAAAATCTTTTAAGACATGATAAGTTTTCTCACAAAAAGAAATAATATTATATTGATTTGAAATACCCAAAATTTCCAACAGTAAATGGACATACCCGACCGGGTAAATGTCAAAATCAAATATTTCCCACATTCTGGCGATCTTCGGCATGTTCTGGTGTTCCGGGTCACATCTGACCCGACCGGGTCAAGTAGGGGACCCGACCGGGTCTGGCAATTTCCTTGCTTCTTCGGTTGTTAAATCTAACCCGACCGGGTGGGGATTTCTACCCGGTCGGGTTTTGCTCTTGGGCAGTCAAATTTCTTGTTTTATTCTCTTCAAAGTCCTCTTTTCCAACACCATAAATCCTAAATCTATTTTACAACTTATAAATGAAGATTAAAATACAATTACAACTAAAATCACACAAATGTTTACAAACTAAATAAAATGATAAATAATACACACAAATCAAACATAAAAACATACACTTATGCACTACTAATTAGTGCATATCAAACACCCCCACACTTGAACCTTTACTCGTCTCGAGTAAAACAAATCTAGCCCAAGAAGTCCTTAAAATGACAAGAGTATCCACACAAACATCCAAGAGTGTTTTTAGGACAACACAAAAATTATCCCCAAAAAAATAAGAGTAAAGAGGGGTCTTCAACTCCATATTTCTCATCAACCTCATTTTTTTTAACGTTACCCTTAGGATCCTGCAGAAATAAAAGAAAATACTTTCTCTCATTCTCTCATTTTGTCTAGGTGCCCTTTCGGGTTTTCATCCCAGCTTCCTACATTTTTCTGTTTTAATCCTCACAACTCACTCTTATTTTTGCTTTATTTTTGTTTAAGTTGCCTTTTCAGGTTTTCAACTTAACAAGCTTTTTATTCTTTATTTTTTTTTTGAACATTTTTTTTAACAAGAATAAAGAGTATGAATGCGAGTAGTCCATAAAACTCTCCCCCCAAGCTAGCCAAAGCACTATCCCTAGTGCTCATCTTCAAGACGTCATAGAAGATGAACCCTTTTTGTGGTGCCATTTCTTTCTTTGTTGGTTGAGCAAAATTCTGACTTGGTGTAGGTGGAGTTAGGGAATTCGGATTTTTGGATAATTTGGTGGGTTTTGTTGGTAAAGAAATGAAAAAAGTGGAGAGAATAAGAAGAGTATGTGTTTAGTTTGTGGATTTGGTGGATGGTTGAGGTGTGAAATTGCAACTATGGAGAGTTTTGGGTTCGAATTTTGGGAAGAAGAATGGGGTGATTCATTTTTTTTTGAAGAATGGCCTGGTTTCCAAAAACTCGAGATACCCGGCCGGGTGGGGTAGTGTACCCGGTCGGGCGTTTCACCCCAGGGGTGGCAGTAGTTTTTTTTGTGGTCACGCCCGGTCGGGTGTAATGAGGTACCCGGTCGGGTGGGATTTATTTTTCGTTTTCGTGGCATGCCTCGCCCGGGTGATGGGGCGGGTATCACATTTTTTGCCCTATACCCGACCGGATTAAATGAGATGTCCGGCCGGGTATATGCCCCAAACCTTCATTTTTCATTTTTTTTCATTTTTTTTTTGAAAAGTGCAAAAATAAAATGAAACAAGTAAATGCACATTGCATGGGTTGCCTCCCAAGAAGCGCCTCGTTTAACGTCGCGGCACGACGCCATCATTGTGTTCAATCGTTCAAGCTTGGATGGTGATAATTCATCTTCTTCACATTTTCACTCCTAGGACTTACATAGGAATGCTCAATTTTCCGACTCTTCCCTTTGAAAATCTTTCCAGGATCAAATATCCAGATTTTCATTGATTCATGTGGGAGGGAGGGGAAGAAACTATCGTTTAACATGGTCAATGAAAAGTTTTTCGACCCCTCAATTTTGAAGAAGATTTCGGAAATGTCATTGTCCTTTTCAAGTTTATGAGTTTCTCTTAAAGCTTCCAGAAATGATGGAGATACCTCAAAGGATGACAATGACAAAAATTTGAATTTGAAGCTCGGCTTATCCTCTTCTTTGACCAGTTGGAGCTCCGTGTCTTTTACTTCTTCTACTTCTTCTGGATTCTGGATCTCCTTTTGCATTTCCTTTTCATTTGTCAATGTGATTGCAAAAGTTTGTTGTTTAGGATCACATTCTATTTGAGAAGGAAGTTTTTCTGAATCCCTTGCTTCAAGCCTACTCACGGCTCCGGCTATTTGACTCATTTGAGTTTCCAAGTTTAAAATGCTAGACTTGGTCTCATTTTGGAATTGCACCATGTTGTTTTGCATGGTGGTCATGTTGGTAGCAATAGCCCGGACCATATCCTCCGTAGACATGTTAGAGTTGGAGAACGGATCATACCTCATGTGAGGTACATCCCTTTTGTAACCAATCTCATCAATTTGTTCAAGGTATTCATCTTGGAGCTTTGGGCAGAATTCCGTTAGATGCCTGTGAGACATGCAAATGTTGCATGTCTTGGCATCTTGAGTTTTTGAGCTTAAGATAAATTCATTTATTAGAGAAGTCGAGAAGGAAATTTGACTCTCTAAGGATGAAATGTTGGTATTCATACACTCATAACTCATGTAAGCTCAGAAAATGGAAGAGTAAGTTTTTTTTTTATATATTTTTTTTTATTTTTTTTTTGTTTTTGATTTTTATGAGATAAAATAAAAAGAAAAATAATTGCCTTTCCCCGGCAACGGCGCAAAATTTGACGTGCACTTTGTCACGGTGCGTCAAAATAAATTCAATAGTAGCACTAATACGTAGTATGGCGTAGTGGAGTTTGTATCCACAGGGAAAAGAATAATTCTCTTTTTATAGAACTAGTAAATAAAGGGGGGTTTTGATTGAGTGATTTAATTAAAATAAAACACGAAGATGAACGAGTTAAATGTGATTTGATTCAAAGATAAAAAGGACTTGACATTGCTACTTTCCACTTGTTGATATATTTTAGTCGATCATTGTTATATCTATAACTTATCCCCTCTCAAATACTCAATCGAGGAGTATATCCAATTCATCGAGAGTAGTTATTAACAACGACCGTTCATTAATAACTCTTACTATTAGTCAAGTATAGAACACCACCATATACCGACTTAATAGTAGCATTTAATCTCTTAACTCCTTGATGAAATCAATTGAGATTGATAACCTCAACACAACGGTTTCGGTTTAACCAACAAAATTAATCCCTCTTAAGTTTATTAACCACGACCGTGCATTAATAAACCGAAGTTACTTACTTGTGAAACCATCAACGATTAACCATCGGTTCATTGATCGTTTCTAGTAGTAATTAATGTCGAGATGTTAACTAATTGTCATCTTAGCAACACTCCCCAACATTAATATAGAGATAGATTAAGGGAAGAATTAATATTCAAGGAAGAAGATTAAATATGAATAATCCTACTATAACTAATGTCAAGATGTTATCTAATTGTCATCTTAGCAACACTCCCCAACATTAATATATAGAGGAAGAAAATAAATACTACTATAACTAATGTCGAGATGTTAACTAATTGTCATCTTAGCAACACTCCCCAACATTAATATATAGATAGATTAAGAGAATAATTAATATTCAAGGGAAGAAGTTAAGAAAATAACTCACAACTTTAATAATCAACAAGCTTCAAGAGCAACACCAAGAAATGGAAGTTTAGCTCCTCATTTGGAGACTAAACATGCTATAAAAATATAAAAGAAATACTATTCTAAACTGAGCTTAAGAGTATGGAAGAAGGAGTTTTGAAAAGTGAAGGAAAATGGGGCTATTTATAGGTGTTTTCAACACCCTGGGGCATTTACCCGACCGGGTAAATGGACATACCCGACCGGGGTAAATGTCAAAATCAAATATTTCCCACATTCTGGCGATCTTCGGCATGTTCTGGTGTTCCGGGTCACATCTGACCCGACCGGGTCAAGTAGGGGACCCGACCGGGTCTGGCAATTTCCTTGCTTCTTCGGTTGTTAAATCTTACCCGACCGGGTGGGGATTTCTACCCGGTCGGGTTTTGCTCTTGGGCAGTCAAATTTCTTGTTTTATTCTCTTCAAAGTCCTCTTTTCCAACACCATAAATCCTAAATCTATTTTACAACTTATAAATGAAGATTAAAATACAATTACAACTAAAATCACACAAATGTTTACAAACTAAATAAAATGATAAATAATACACACAAATCAAACATAAAAACATACACTTATGCACTACTAATTAGTGCATATCAGTGTGAGTAGGGATGGAAAGGGCCCGGTTCCGGTTCGGGCCTGGCTGGGCTTGGAAGGTTTTGGGTAAGGCCCGAAACTGGCCCGGGAGTCTACCGGTTCTGGGCCGGGCCAGTTTCGGTTCAATTTTTTTGTGTTTTCTTATTTATTTCAACCCCCATCCCCATCCCCATCCCCATCCCGCCAAACCCCTCGGAAACACCCAGCCCACGTAAACCCAGCCCAAACCCAAAAAAAACAAAGAAAAAGGCCCGAACTGGGGCCAGACCGGCCGGGCCGGTTCGCCTTTTTCTGGACCCGGAACCGGAACCGGTTACCCCCTCGGGCCAGGCCTAGGCCCGGAACTGGAACCGGTTTCCCGGGCCGGGCTGGGTACAAACAGTACTGGTCTGGGCCGGGCCCGGTCCGGTTGGCCTGGAACCGGTCCACCCCTAAGTGTGAGGACGTAGAGGTTGCACCTGTCAAAACCAGTGTGTTTCGCGGAGAGACATTTGTTGATGATTGCAAATAGATTAGAGTTCTCCATGGCCTTGGCACATGTTGGCGTTTGAAATTGGAGATAAGAGGAAGTGGTGCAATATAGCCCATTCTTATAATGTCGGTGTAAATCTGGTTGTTAGTGGGGAACTCATCATACTGAGCATGTGTTGGGATGCGGAGGACAGTCTGGACGAGATCTTTAGTGAATTGCATGCACTTGGGTGTCGTAAATGATAGCGTTCAAAACCTCCCTCTAGTGGCAGTTCTTGTTGTGTTGAGTGTTCCCCAAAATTGTTGGAGATACACTTGTGGGATGGAGTCGGTCAGTGTAAAAGAATACCACATCGGATGTCCTCTCAGAATGAAAATGATGATTTGATCCTCGCACTTGAATGATTCAAATTGTAGTTGGAAGTCGTTGGTCTCTATGCAGAACCATTTGTTCTAAGCATAGACTGATTCAATGGACCTCATTCTTGCTGATAACTGAGATACAGACTAGAGAAGAGATGGACTTGAGGAAAAAATGGTGATACTAAGTAAAAGAAAAAAATGGCAGAACTAAGTAAAGGAAAAAAAAATGGTGGTACTAAGTAAAGAAAGATGGCGATATTAGTGATTGAGCACCTCAGCCATTATTGATTGAGAAAATTGTTCAATATAGAACCAAAATTCAACCTTTTTCCCAAAATAGGACTACATGCATGTTTTTCCCTAAATAGGACTAATCTTACCTATTTTACCTCTAATTCTATTTAATTAACTAATTGATCTAAATAATTGCCCCCCTAATTTCCTTGCACAGCCAAGGCAGTCCGTCGGTGGCGGGGCAGCCCATGGCGGCGGCAGCACTCCGGCAGCCGGTCGGCGGCGGCGAACTCCAACAATTAATTAACCCAATTAATTGCCCCCCCTAGTTATCTTGCACAACCAAGGCAGTCCGTTGGTAGCGGGGCAATTCGGTGGTGGTGGTGGCGGCCGAAATGCTAGGAGGATTCCAAAAAAATCTGGAATTTTTTTCCAGCGGTGGTCGCCGAAGCTCCGGCGGCGGCCGGCGGCGGTTTGGCGGCAGCAGCAGCAGGTGGTCGGCGGCAGGCAGTAGGCAGCAGTACAGTGGCAGCACTGGGGGTATCTTGGTCCAATCACTAAAAAAAGTCCTATTTAAGGATGTTTAAACTATGTGCTCCTATTTTGAGAAAAAAAGCCATGTGTTGATCCTATTAAGGTAAATCTCCCTTATTAATTAGGGATTGAGCACCATCTGGTAGTCACGAATGTTAAAAAAAGACACACACACACATGTGTATGCACATTCACTGTGCAGTCAGGGTCGCTCGGCACACGCGAGCGAGAAGATGAAATGAAGCTCGGCATGAAGGATTAGAAATAGTTGTTCTTTCAAAACTGAAATTCTATGGATATTCATGTAAAGGATTTTTCATTAAGTTGAGTTGTTGAAGGAATTGCAGTGGAACAATGACTTCTTGAGCAGAGATGACGGCGTCTCCTTCCTCTCAATCGGCGGCACTGCCGCCTACTGTTTCACCGAAGCCCTCAGCACCACCAATAACCCCATCGGCTTGGACTAAATCCTTTGTTGATGTCGTTTCTGGCAAATCCTCTACGTCCCTTTCGGTCAAAACTTATTCTCGCTTCAAGGGACTGCCTACTGTAAGCTTTCCTGATAGTGATGTTCAGATTCTCTCTGAGCGTCATAGATTTTCCTTGGTGGGTTATTTTTATGAAGGTAGACCTAGATTGGATTCCCTACGTAAAACTTTGGAGAGAATTGGATTTAAAGGGACTTTCCATCTTGGGGTTTTAGAAAGGAAGCATGTTCTGATTCGTTTTGATAACGAAGATGATTACTTTCGTTGCTGGAATAGACAATCCTGGTCTATTCTAGGAAAAACTATGCGTGTTACTAAATGGTCTTCTACTTTTAGACCTAATGTGGAATCGCCGATTGTTCCGGTATGGGTTGTTTTCGAAGGATTGCCGGTTCACTTACATGATAAACGTGCGCTTTTTGATATTGCTGGCTTGTTGGGCAAACCCCTAAAACTGGACTCGGCTACTACCAATTTGGCTAAGCCTTCGATGGCTAGAATTTGTGTGGAAATTGATCTTACTAAGGAGATGCCTCAAAAAATTTGGATTAATAGTGGAAGTTTTGGCTTTGCCCAAACTGTGTTCTATGAGAATAGACCCTCCTATTGCTCTCACTGTTTTCACCTGGGGCATATGGATTCTGCTTGCCCTAAAAGGAACCCAGTCAACCATAATGTTCCTTTGGCTCTCAAGGAGAAATGGGTCAGTAAAGAAAATTCTAAGGCTGACCAACAAAGTAAGAACCTTTCAGCACAGGAAAAAGGGAAAGGAATAATACAGGCAGAGTTTATTACAGACCCATCTACCTCAAATACATCAAATACTGATACTGAAGAGATCATTATGGAAGAGCCTCCCCACAAGGAGAACCAGCTTGGTACTTCTGTTGTAGGTTCTCAGGAAGTCCCACATGCTCCAATCTTGAACTCCCAGGACTCAGAAATTGCTGCACATAATGGTCAGTCTGCTACCATTGGATCTCTGGCAGCTCCCCTTGCTCCAATTATGACCTCCCAGGTCCCAGAAGCTCCTGTTCAGAGAGACCAAACAGTTTTGGGCTCACAACTCAATAATATTGAGGGAATCTTTTTGGAAGAGCTCCCCTGCACGAATGGCCGAGATGTTTCCCAACAAAGTTCCCTTCTTCCAATCCCTAGGATGAATTCTCAGGATGGCAACCTGGCTCACAAATTGAAGAGCTCATCCGTCCCTGCAAAGAAATATCCCAGAACGGAAGAGATTCAAATCCTTCTTGACACTGAGATTCCGGGTTTAGCTTCTCATACCTTAGTCAATTCTTGTAAAGATGATTTTGGTATCAAGCTCCTCTTAACAAAGTTGGAGTTTGATCCTGAACTTTCTGCCAAGGCCTATGATTCTGAAGGTGAAATTACCAAGCCCAGACAAACTCTTCACAACTGGAAGGACCTTTGGCCTGAGATCTGTGACAAAGTGAATATCATAGTTAAGAACAATGCAGAAAAGGAGTCTTCCATTCTATCTGCCAAAGCCCAGGATATTACAAATATTAATATGTTTGCTCCCTTGGAACAGCATATTATTGAACCAGAAGCTAGTCTTTTTAAGGCTACCAATAAAAAGAGCAAGAAGAAAGAGGATGTTGATGTTCAACCAAGGGTTACTAGAAATGCTTCAAGGAAAAAAGATTTGACAGTACCATCTGGTTCTGTGTCACAAGCTCCCACCCAACCCTTGTAATGAATATGCTTTTTTGGAATACTAGAGGTCTGGACTCTGCTTCTTCCAGACTTTCTTCACTTGTTAGTTATTGGAAAATTCATATTCTATGTATTTTTGAGCCACTTGTTGACAGAGCTAGAGCTACACATTTTATGTTTGAGTTGGGTTTTCAGCAGGTGTCTTTTTCTGAGATTAATAAGGTCTGGATTTTTTGGAATCCAAATGAAATCTCTATCAACGACTTTATTTGGCACCCTCAGCTTGTTCATTTCAAAATAAAACGGGGAACTTTCTTAGGCTGGGTTACAGCTATTTATGGAGGCCATACCTATATTATTAGAAGAAGTCTTTGGGATGCTCTTTCTTCTTTTGCTGCTACTGTTTTGGATCCTTGGATTGTGGGGGGGGATTTCAATGCCATAGCAGCTCATAGTGAGCATAAGGGTAATTCTTCACCTAATCTCACTAGCATGTTGGAATTCTCTGACTGTATCGGTGCTTGTGGGTTGATTGACTTGCCACATGAAGGTTCTTTTTTCACCTGGTCTGGTAACAGATCAAATGGCAGAGTGTTAAGAAGGTTAGACAGATGTTTAGTGAATAATAATATGCTGGAATCCTTTGATAAACTTCATATTTCAGTTTTGGATAAAACACCTTCCGATCATAACCCCATTCTCTTGAGGTGTTTTCAGAACTCTAATAGTGGTCCAAAGTCTTTTAAATTCCAGAATATGTGGTTTTCTCATCCTGGCTTTCTGGACGTTGTCAGAAATAGTTGGTCTGCTAATTTGTCTGGTGGTGGTATGCGGGGCCTGATTTACAAACTGAAGTGTCTTAAGAAGAATTTGAGGACATGGAATAAAGAGGTGTTTGGGAACATTTTTGATGATACAAAATACTGTGAAAGTTTGGTTCAACAGGCTGAGCAGACCTACGATGTGGACCCCAGTGAGAGCAATAAAGAAAAGTGGTCATACTTGAAAGCTATGCTTTTGAAAAAATATAAGCTGGAGCGAAAATATTGGAAGCAAAAAGCTCACATACACTGGTTAAAAGAAGGTGATAGTAATTCTCATTTTTTCCATTCTTTTGTGAAAGTTAGACAGAAAAAGCAGCAAATCAATTCTATATTTAATGAGGAAGGGACTCAAGTGGATACCTTGTCAGACATTGGAACTGCAGCAGTCTCTTTCTTTTCCAAGCTCTACGCAGGAGAAAGCCATATAGAAGATGATAGTATTCTGCAACATATTCCTCCTTTGGTCACTGTGGATGATAATATCATGTTGATGCAACTACCTACTGAGGATGAAGTTAAAGAGGCTGTTTGGGATCTTAATCAAAATGGGGCCCCCGGGCCTGATGGCTTTAACGGAAAATTTTTTAAAAAATGTTGGGAGATTGTTGGCATTGATGTGGTCAAAGCTGTTCAGGAATTTTTCATGGGTGTTCACATTCCTATGGGTATGTCTAGCAGTCTGGTGGTGTTGATTCCAAAGACTGATAGCCCTAATACCTTTGCAGATTACAGACCTATTTGCCTTTCTAACTTTGTGAATAAGGTCTGCACTAAGGTTTTAGCTGCCAGGTTGATTAAAATTCTACCTAAGCTTATATCTAGTGAACAAGCAGGTTTCATGCAACATAGAGATATTTCAGATCAAATACTCATTGCTCAGGAGATGATACACTCTATTGAAAAGAAAATTAGAGGTTCTAATGTGGTTGTTAAACTTGATATGGCTAAAGCCTTTGATAGGCTCTCTTGGGATTTTCTGGCCCAAATTTTGACTAGGTTTGGTTTTTCCTCCTCTTTCACCCAACTTATCATGAATAACCTCAAGGCTACCTATTTATCTATTCTGGTAAATGGTGTTTCTTTTGGTTACTTTCAGCCTACTAGAGGGGTTAAACAGGGAGACCCATTATCCCCCTTTCTCTTTATTCTGGCTTCTGAAGCTTTTTCTAGAGGGTTAAAATGGAATGTTGATTCTGGTTTTATTAAACCTTATTGGATGGGCAATGTTGGGTATCCTATTTCTCATCTAGGCTTTGCTGATGACTTATTGGTGTTTCTTAATGGTGAGGTTAGGTCACTTCAGAATTTCAAGCATTTTCTTAATGCTTACCAAGCAGCTTCTGGTCAGTTGGTGAACTTTTCTAAGAGCTCCTTTTTGTGTGGAAGATTTGCCAGAGCCAGATTGAGAACCATCCAAAGTATTCTTGGGATGCAGAAGGCTGATCTACCTATCAAATACCTTGGTGTTAACCTGCATAAAGGTATTAATAGATTTAATTACTGTACTGATCTGATTGGTCATTTTGAAAAGAAATTGTCTCCTTGGAAGCAAAGAAACTTATCT